TCCTTCCGAGACCTCTCTGCATAGACCAGGCACGCCATGTAAGGTAAACAAAGGTAAAGGACCCCTGGACGGTTAAGTCCAGTCAAAGGCAACTACAGTGGTACCTCGGGTTAAGAACTTAATTCGTTCTGGAGGTCCGTTCTTAACCTGAAACTGTTCTTAACCTGAAGCACCACTTTAGCTAATGGGGCCTCCTGCTGCTGCCGCACCGCCGGAGCCCGATTTCTGTTCTCATCCTGAAGCAAAGCTCTTAACCTGAAGCACTATTTCTGGGTTAGCAGAGTCTGTAACCTGAAGCGTCTGTAACCTAAGGTACCGCTATACTAAAGTTGTGAGTGGAGGTATATTGCTATCAAGCTCCACTTTTAATGACCGAGAACCTTCTCAACCAAGTCCTGGCACCGTAAGAAAATAAATATGACGTAGGCAATTCCAAACCAAAACATTCGCAGGGCACCTGGAAACCTGATGTGTCTCCGCATTGTACCAACGCAACCTACAAATTACAACAGTTTCTCCCTGCTGCTCTGAATTCAGGACATTTGCTCGAGTGACGCTAAGCAGGCTTTTTAAATCTGGAATGGATTGCCTGCGACGATAATTAATGCAAGACAGAAAGCAGAGAGAGCATCGTTTTAAAATCAGATGGAAATGCTAGTCAACTGTGGCTTTTCATCCCATTTGCAGAAGCAGAATGGGCAAAAGGCGAAGAGGCCGTAACCCTACCCAGTGCTGTGTAACAGCAGGGACCACAAGCAAGGATGTCCTGGGTTCAAATCTCACTTTGAAAAGCTACTATTCTGAGCCTCGCTTCGGCTGCACAAGAAACAATGCCCTGCCTTTATTGTTGTAAACATTCTGAGCCTGTCGCTTAACGGTGAGGATGTTGTTTAATGGGGTAATGTCTGTGATAACGATTTCATTTCACAATCTACATGACGCGCTCCGCATGTCTGAAATGCACTATATAGAAATGTGTTTTATTATTATTATCTTCCTACGGTACATTTTGGGCGCCGGTTCCCAGGTACAAAGCGCAGCGCAATTTCTATAAGCTGCCCACATGTGCAAATTGCAGCTTTCGCCAAAACACGCCCCAGAAAAGGGATTTCCAGCCATTGCTCGCGAGTAATTTGCAAACAGTAATTTGCTGTTTATTTGCACACAAGGGCCCTTCATAAGGCACACATATTTATACACTTGGGAAGTGGTTTCTGAAGACAAAATGCAGTTTACGAAATGACCCTTAAAACCGTTTAAGAGCACGACTGGAAGACACCCTGAGCTTCCAAGGTACTGGCAATTCCCTAACAAAACAGCTCCCCCAATAATGCTACCTTTTTACTGTGGAAGCCTCACTTTCATTCACCTCTCATTTCTCACAGAGAACAAGGAACTTTTTTCCAGATTGCTGGTGTGACAGTAGAATCCAACGGCTTCTTTTTAAAAAAAAACCAAAAAACCACCACCAAAATAAAAAAAGCAAAACGCTTGTGAACAAATTTGTATAGGTGGAGGAAGCATTCCGTCCCATAAAATACAGCAGGAAATTCCTAATATTTCAGCATTTACATTCTCTTCACTTCAAGCCTGCAAGGGGGCACAGTGTCCACGCTTATTATTTTAACCGGGAGCTGTTTATCAAACTTTCCAAGTAAGCTGCTTTATCAGAGACCTCCCTTAGTGTACACGCTAAAACTGTATAGAGAAAACAAGAACAACTGACAGACAACTATACGTTAAATAATTATCGGCGGAAACACATTTTTAAAAAATCAGTCAAACTTTTACAAGTGAACATAGGTAATTTTCACAGATTTCTCCACTGTTGTCTAAGGACCTGCAGAATTCAAAAAATATGGCCATTGGTTCCACACTGGGGACCATACACTGATAATCACCTGAACTCTGTGAGATGCCCCTACCTGAGTACTGTATACATCACCGAGAACTTAAAGAGAGGAAGAGCCTCTCACCAGAGGTGTTGGGGGGGGGGAGATCCTAAGTTGCCCCTGGAAAGCATAGCGGTCACAAACTAAGAATTCTTTCACCGTACCTACAACCTCCTCAATATGAGAAGGGCAAGCCTGTTTGGGTGGGCAAGGAGAGAGAGAGACTATCTATCCCTTACAGTCCTATGGAATGAGATTTGGCGGGGAGAAAAAGAATCCCTTATCCTGTGGTGCCTCTCGCTGCTTCTGAGCACCTGCAAAATGGCACACATGGCATAGACAGTGGACCTCATGGATATTTACCCCTGGATATTTCTCATATCTCAAAGAAAAAGAAATATCCGCTACTGATTCCTCTTTTTAACATTATCATTTCCTTCCTGCACTCTCTTTGCTTTCAAGGAAGAACAACTATGCCTCGGTCCAGTATACCTGAAGGAGCGTCTTCACCCCCATCGTTCAGCCCAGACACTGAGGTCCAGTGCTGAGGGTCTTCTGGCGGTTCCCTCGCTGCGAGAAGCCAAGTTACAGGGAACCAGGCAGAGGGCCTTCTCGGTAGTGGCACCCTCCCTGTGGAATGCCCTCCCACAAGATGTCAAAGAGAAAAATAACCACCAAACTTTTAGAAGACATCTGAAGGCAGCCCTGTTTAGGGAAGCTTTTAATGTTTAATAGGTTATTGTATTTTTGTGTTTTGTTGGAAGCCGCCCAGAGCGGCTGGGGAAACCCAGCCAGATGGGCGGGGTATAAAGAATAAATTATTATTGTTATTATTACTATGCAGTTTGTTGTCATTTTATTATATATTTATCCAAGTTGCACGCCGCCCTTCATCTGTAGACCTCAGACCGTAACAACGCAAGATTAAAAACACAAAATGAATAATAAAAACAAGAACAAAAATAAACCCACAGACCAATAAGCCCCCCACCCCTCTCACTGCGTGCAGTCTTACTGGATTCCAAAGTTCTCCAAACACATGCAGTGCATCAAACAGAAAGAAAGGATAGGAAGAACCACATACACTGCCCAGCACGATAAAATCCACTTTCGGAGAAGCAAATATTTCTTTCCCTGGCACAAGGTATCATTCGCCGCCGGTATTTGTGTAGAGTTTCCCCTGGCTTGAAACACTTCACGTAGGTTATCGCACTCAACAATTTTCAGGCTACCACCCAAATCTTGCCGTTTTGCCTTTAAATTAACTGTTTATGCTACCTGACCCACCCCCACTGCTATAGGAAACAGGATTGCAGCTGTGCTGCGCAGCAGGGAAGGCGGGCAGAGGGGAGTGGGACGAGGAGAAATGGTCCAGAGAGGCAGCCTCTGCCTCATCTTCCAGTTCAGCTGTGAATTTAACAAGGCAGAGCATCAATCTGCAGGTTGAAGACTGCCAACTTCAGCCTTGGCGAACTTTACGGGAACACTGCAAGGTTGCAAGAGCACAGTATTCTGGGATGGAGAGGTTGCAGGGGGGAGAGCCAGAACTTAGAAGGAGAGCATCCACCTTGCATGCAGAAAGGAGGTTCAATCCACAGTTCCTCCAGGCAGGGCTGGGAATTCACCCTGATGGTCAGTTTAGAGTTAGATGATGGCAGTGCCAAGTCGAAATTCAAATTGTGGGCCACTAAGCTCATAGCTCAGTCTCTCTAACAGCAGTCTCAAATGCATGTGGGTTTCTTTCCCTCTTTAAAACGTTCTACCATCATCCTTTGCTGTTTCCATTATAGGATGCCAGACCAGATATGTGATGTGACCACACAGCAGTAACACAAAACAACCACCACCACCACCACAACAACAATCCACACAAATGCAACAACAAAGAACAGACTATCCGACCTGTTGCAGCAAAGTGCCGGCACAAAGCTCAGAATAGCGCTTGACCTGCCCTGCAGAAGTCAACTCTTTTGTCGCCAATTCCTGGTGTCAAGATGTATTTATTTATTTTGGAGCAGGTAAGAAAAGTGATAAAAGAGACCGCTTGCGCCAAAACACAGCAGCAGCAGCAGCAGCAAAAAAATAAAAAAAAGCCACTTAGGCTCTGACAGCTATTTCCCCCAGAATCCAATTAAAGAGCAATCCTCGCCCGAATAGTGCAATATTCTCACACATGAGGAATGCTTCCAATATACTGGTCACTGTAAACTGCAACGCAAACAGCGGGTGCGGAGGACGGAAGCGTACAAGAATTGATCAAGAGCAAAAAGTCAATAGGTGTATCCAGCACAGTTCAGAACAACTTTTATTTCCCAGTCCCAACACTGAATATTCGAGGAACACGTCACAGTTTTGCTTACTGCACAAGCAGGCGTGACAACTGACCATTTCTCAACGAAAGGCTGAGCCAGCGTCCACTCTTTGTAGAGATCCCCCAGAGTTCTCGCATTTTTTTAAAAAAAAAAGAGACAAGCATTCATTCATTCGCACCAACTTGCCCTTCTCCTTTGCTAAAAGCTTCCACCGCTCCCAAGAGTCTCTGAGTTGGGTTTACAATGCCTCTTTATCGCAGGACTCTCGGCTGCCCAGAAAACCAAACTTCCAGATGCTGCACTTACAACTTTCTTTCAAAAAAAAAGGAAGGGGGGGGAAGCAGACCGCAATCGCAAAAAAACCAACAACCCAGGGGGTTACCTGCTTTCACTTCCAATTCCAACACACCATTCCGTAAGCCTGAGCTCTCCCCCTAAGCTAACAAGAAATCCCATCTGCAATGACAATTTAGCTTATGCAAACATAGCACTTGTCAACAAGGGCTACTATTTCCAGCAAGCGTGACACCTACCCTGTATAGCTAACAATCAAAGCTTCATGGTACGTTCTATCCAGCATCTGGCTGCACTTGTTCCTCACACAACTCCTGATTTATCTTAAAGCCACTTACAAACATTGCAGAGCGACACATCTGTCCAACGGCAAGCGTTCCTCTGTTCACACTAACTCTCCGCCCCCCGTTTCTGCCCTCGTTGGCACACTCACTCACACACACCCCGCGGCCACCCCCCTCCCCCCCAAAAAAATCATAAGTTTGGACGGTTTTCCCCGTACCTGCAGTTCGGAGGTGGGTCCAGGGTTATTTCAGCCAGCTCCTTTTGAATCCTGTTGGCAAAATGAGAAGAGACACAGAGCGTTTGCGAGAGCCTGAGGAATATATCGGGGAATTACACTGCCCTCTACCACCATGCAGTTAAATGCAAGATTGGTTTTGCTTCAGTAATGCTAACATGGCTGCTTCCTCTTTGTTCTCAGAGGCATAACCCAAATCCCAGAACAGAGAAAACTTTGCAGCTTCCCTTTTCTTAGCTGTGATGGTAAATAGAGCATTTGCACCTCAGCCCGGTGGGAATTCCCACCAAGCCCTCAGGAAAGTGAGTCTCAGGGATTTCCAACTGCTCTTTGGTAGGCATTTTTTCTTTTTAATCTTATATGCAAATGAGACCCGGGAGGGAGGGGGAAAGGAGGAAAACAGAAGGATATTTGAGAATGACTTTTCTACCAACACTGCCTGGGAGTTGTAGCCAAGGCTGATGCATGACAAACAAGGACACTTTTGGGGGGGGGGGCAATGTTTCTCCTGCTGCCAATAGTGACTTTTAGCATTTCAATCACCTTGGTATATATGCAGCCAGGTTGCTGGAACTAAGCCTTGACATCCTTCTGCTGCTTTCTCTCCTCAAACCCACGAAACATTTTTCTTTTCTTTTCCAGAAATCCCGTAAAATAAAACAAACACTGATCTATCAGTTGTGATTTCAGCCCAGATGGTATCTCTGGACAGCAGTTATAAAGATGCCTGGATCCCGAGAGAAAACGTTTCACCAGTTTTGCTACAGTTAATAGAAGTCATCAAAAGAAGGAACAAAATATTCTCTCTTTCTCTCTCTCTCTTTTGAAGGGAGGAGTATTTTACTGCTAATTTTGCAAAGTTCAGATAATTTATGTTTTGCCTGTAGTAGATCCATGGCGATGACAAATGATTTAGATGGAACTGCTCTGGATTTGTACCATACATGAATTTACACAAAACATCAGGTCAAATAACACACAGGGCTAAGATTTTGCAAGATCAAGCAGGGTATTAAAAGAATCACTCACTGGATTTATGTATCAGCAGTAAACTTACTATATAAATACCTAGTAAGCCGCTAGCAAAAGTTATCTTAAATCCATCGGAAGTTACACAAAAGATCCACTTCTTATCATTTTCCCTCCTCAACGACTGTACATACTTTTATTTTCAGACTCTACTGTTTTCGATTTAAAAGCAGCAGATGGTAAAAGCTAACACACCCCTCAAGTCATTTTTGCAGGACTGCCCACCTGCAAGGTAAATTTTGAGAGCTGCTAATGAATGTGTGGAGTTTGGCATCAGCATATTCCAACACGCGCCCTCCAAACATATAGGCCCACTCTGAAATAAGTGTTAAACACTCCCACTGACTTTGTGGGAGATTGTTGCACCCTTAAATATCTTGGATGCCATTTGTCAGATACACTACTGGAGAATGTAACGCAGATTCCTAGCTAAAAGTGAGCTTTGAGGAAATGATTACTGGGTTATCTCCAAAGAGGCAGAGATCAACAGGGCATTTTAAGTTTGCCCAATTCAGAAGGCTGTTAAAGAAAATTAACCCGTGAATGAGGATATTCAGAACGCTGCAAATCGTAGATGCGCAAAGGTAGCCTCTAGCGGGTTCCTCTCAAGTTTTTGAAACTTTCAAGATAGAAGGGCAGTCATTAATCTGTATTTCCGATGAGGTAAAAGGCACTCAAGCTAGCACACCTGCTTGCATTTCAACGAACCAACCAAACAAACAAAAAAACCTTCTATGGATGTGAATGCATGAGGTTCCCAAAAAGAAAAAGAGCAAAAGAGTCATCATCATCATCAACCTTTTATTCGACCGTCAGTCAGAAAAAGAGTCGTTTCTCGTCAAGTACTCTTATACAGCATCCAACCCAAGCCAAATGATGAATCGTCCCATTTCCTCCCATCCCCACCAAAAGAAAGAGTTGAAGCATTCAGATCCAGGTATGAATGTACATGGATGAACGAACCTCTCATGGTGACGCCGCATCGCCCAAGGGAAACTGGAGCTGCTCTACGAGTGGGCAAAGTGAATCGAAGCAGCGCCCCCAGCACACACATATACAGGGGCAAAGCAGTTCACAACTCGACTCCCCATTAAACACTCACTTTCGGCAGCGCCCAAGAATCAGGGGGTGAACCCAACAGCGCAATGGTCACAACTCTGCCTGGATCCATTCAACCGCCAACGCTGACGCGGTGTTAGAAAGAGACCTCTTAATCCACGGACTATTTCCATGCGGGTCTCGCCATCCCAACAGTGAACAGCAACATCTCAAAGTTTGTTAGTTCACCTTAAGGACCTTCCCTTGTTTGCAAAGCAAAGCAAACAAACAAAAATAAAACCTTTCTCCCTCAAAAATTGTGTGTGGGACACATTACCTTTTAGCACTAGTGGAGAGCTTGGCAGTCGTTTTGCTGGAGAGTTTGGTGTTTTTCTTCTGTTGGGTAGCCGAAGGCTTTCTCTCTTCTTGCTCCTCAGGTTCAGGAGCTGGTGGGTCCCTCTGATCTGCATCTGAACTCCCACTGCTAGTACTTGGACTTTCGTCATCTGACCTCTGCCTGTCACTGGACATCTTGGAAAACTTTCAGGGAAGGAGCAAAGGAGGGACAAAAAGAAAAAAAAACACGTCAATTTCCAGGAAAAATAAATATGACTTAGTTATATATTTGGTGGCCAAGACTACTGAAGCTATACTCTATTGTAATTCACCCAAGAACAACAAATCTTTTGATTCCTCTTTATTATGACTGTGTGTCGATTGTTGATGTTACGTTTTCTCTCTTGCACATAATAGTTAAATAAAAATCAGTTCCACCCAGCGAAGGGCTATTCATTCAGTCCCCTGTCATCTGCAAGCATACTTATTTGGTGCCCCTTAAACTGGTCATGATGAAGATTGGAATGGGGGGGTGTACGAGAGGGGGGAAATAGGGTTGACCAAAATCACGTCTCAGTTTGAGGTTCCAATGCAACAGTTCCAATGTTTATGAATTTTTTAAAAAGACTTTTTTTTAAAAAAAATGGATTTTCTCCTCCCACCTCCAAATCCTATCATGCGTCCTTCCCCCCCCCCCCCGCCCCACAACACACTCCCCAATTCTTCAGACAGTACGTCAATTGTCTACTTTGTTCGGAGGCATGAGGCAGATTTAGCAGAGTACTCAGGCAATGAGCATTAATAACTTATGACACGTTGTAAATAGCAGAGGCTTGCCAAAAAAATATAGGATTTTCCCCCTTCAAGTCAGTAATACCCTCTAAATATTTACACTGGAGCAGAGGGGGTCAAGGCAGATATATCTCCTCCTTCCCCCCCACCCCACCCCCCAAGACTTAAGCTGATATACAAATTGGGAGGGGGAGTGAGAAATAAACCCCCCACCAACACCACCCACTCCCTCTTGTTTCCCTGTATTTAAAGGGCTGGAGAGGATTTGCTATTTCAGACTCAAATGCTTTTCTCTCCGTCCAGAGAAACCCGCGAGCTCGGGTTCTATTTACACGGCCGGCAGCAAGAATTGCATTTGGTCACCACCGAGGAGGCTGGAAAGGAGGAGGAGGGAGAGAGAGAGAGAGAGAGAGAGAGAGAAAAGAAGAAGCATAATTCAAACTGCACCTTCTGCAAAGCTTTCAACGCCACCGAGTCTTGATCAGTTTCTACAAAACAGACCGACATATTTTTTTTCTCCTGCCCCCTCTAAAAAAAACACATCCAGGGAGGCTCAGATCGGAGGGCTTGGAATATTTGTATTATATATCTATATTTTTTTCTATTTTTAGAAGAAGGAAAAAAAACAGAGGATCCTCGTCGGGAATTGCAGGAGGGCAAAAATTGCAGCTCTGCCCCCCCCCCAACACCACCACCCCGCGCTCCCTCTCTCTCACAGAGAGAGAGAGTCGTCGCCGTCTCGCCCCCCCCCCCCCCGCGCCTCGGCTTTGTAGGGAGAGCCGAGCTCCCAGCCAGGAGGGTATGGAGGGGCTGCTATGGCAGGAGCCTCCCCCCCCCCCACCGCACACACACACTACCAGCGTGGTGTGTGCACACCAAGTGAGGCGTGAACTCAAGTCTCGGCTCCTCCGGCTCTGCCGGCCACCGCCAGGCAGCAAGCGCTGAAAACAAGAACAAAGCTCCCTCTACCAATCTCTCTTTCTTCCTTCAACGCGCCCCCCCCCCTCAACCTCGGGCGCCGCGCTCCTTTTTCCCTCCTCCTCCTCCTCCTCCTCTTCTCTCCTCCTCCCCCCACCATGCTCGCCCAGGCTCCTGCTGCAGCCACCTAACCCGTTTCTCCTTTTACCTTCGCAGGCGTCCTGTCCCGACGTTAGCTCGGAGGGGGGAGGGATGGACGGGAGGGGGGGAGGGCAGGGGAGAGAAAATGTCCTTGGAGGGGATGGAAGCAGCCCCGGGTGTGGGGTGGGGGGGGGCGTTGAAATAAAGCAGCAGAGGAGGCTCTGTGGCCGGGCAGTGTGGAACATTGAGAGTCGGAGCGGGGGGGTGGGGTGGGGGGAGAGTGAGTGAGTGAGAAAGGGGGAGGTGCAGTGCGGCTGGATGGCCGGAGGGTGGTGCTGCAGAGGCCTCCTAATTTATTTATTTATTTCCCCTTTGCCGCCTCTCCTCCCCCAGCCCCACCACCAATCCCCACCTCGCACCGTTTCCCCCAAGCCAGCTCCCGCGGCGGGGTAAGGGGTAACGTGGCTCGGGGATCGCCAGCTCCCTCTTTCTCACGCTCCCCCCCCCCGCTTTCCCCGGGGGGGGGAAGGAAAGGCCGGATGGAACGAGGCAAGGATCGAACGTTCCACCGCCTCCGCCCCCTTGTGTCGCTACGTTCGGCTCCAGAACGTTGCAGTCAGCAAAGTTCCAAAACGGAGGAAGGAGCGGGTTGGCGTGGGGGGGGGCGGTGTATGTCCTGGTGGGAAGAGTAGGGGGGGAGAGTTGACAGGGAGAAGGTGGCAACAACGGTGGAGGGGGGCGGCGCTCGCTCGCTTTACTCGGCTGGCAGAGCGCGCGCGCGCCCCTGTGGGCCGGGGCGCGCGCGCGCTCTTTACCTTTGCAGGGTGCCTGCTTTCCTCGGTGCTGGCCAAGGACAAAGAGTTGGTGCCTGTGCAGAGAGACACCCCACCACTGCCAACTTTGAACCCTGGCTCTTGTTTTAGCAATGGCTCCTGGAGGCCCTCATCACTCCCCCTCCACCCCACCCCTAGACAGTTATTGCGGGTATGTTGGGTGGAGGGGGATAACAGCTATGGATGGTGGCGGTGAGCAGTGAAATCGTGAATCGGCCGGCTTGAGCTGACAGCTGCCTTGCAGTTGTGATGAAATGGGCTGAGGAAGAATCCGCTCTGTTACAATCCATGTTCCTGTGGGCACCCCCAACTGCTCTTTCTAGAGGTGCCTCCTAAGCCTGGGAAAGGGGGTTGCTGTAGATATGGTAGTTATCTGTTCTTAGGGAAATAAATAAAAGTCTAGGGTTGAGTAAGAGAGAGGCCCACTTTGCTGTGCAAGGTGAGCTCTGAAAAAGACACTCAGCCAAACTATTGGGAGGTGAAGCACAGGTTTGGGGCGTCAGAAAGGAGAAAGAGAGGCCCGCCTAACCAAAAGTTGCTCAAGTCCATCTTGCCAGCTCAGTATTTCTGGTGGGTCAGCTTGTCTGCGCACTGCTTTGGATACAGAGAACCAGTGCTTTTTTTATTAAAAAATGTTTAGGGGTACTCTCATTTTGACTCAAGAAAATCACCATTTTATAGTTCAAATCAGGAAAAATAAATACAGTAAATGGACGAAAGTGCAAAGATTCAGAAAATGTTTAGGGGTATGTGTCCCCTCAGAAAAAAAGCACTGCAGAGAACAGATCTTCTTAGCTCGGTTGGCTAGAGCGTGGTGCTGATAACGCCAAGGTTGCAGGTTTGATCCCCGTATGGGACGCCTGAATATTCCTCCATTGCAGGGGGTTGGACCAGATGATCCTCAGGGTCCCCTTCCAACTCTACAATCCTCCTCCTCCTCCCCCTCCTCCTCCTCTTCTTCTTCTTCCCCAGAACTGAACCTAAAGATGTCACACTTCTACTGTTCCACCACAGACATTAGGACTCAATTCTCTTCTCAGGAAAGTATTTTGTTTCCTGCTACTCCACATATGAAGCATCTCACCTTGAATGAACTTTCCTAGCTTCATTCAAGAACCCTTGGATTGTACGGCTGAGGACAAGGGTTGTCTTAACTACTGAACTTTTGATCTGTTTGCTTTCAAACAAAGCAGAGGGACAGGGAGAGGAGATATCATGGCATCATCATCATCACTTTTTGTCCAGGTTCAAAATCCATTTCCCCCCATAACACTTTGTATTTCATTCATTCATCCATATCCTTACTCTCCACCAATAAACTCAAGGCACATCAATAAACTCAAGGCAACGTGCATGATTTGTCTCTCTTTAGACAAACAATACAGAACATTCTAAACCTGCATCAAAAGAGCAGGAGGGACGCCCATAGGCTTGGCCAGGGCAAAGGTCTTCACTCCTGCTGCCTCCTCTGCAGGCAAAACCGCTAAAGACAGAATTTCTAAATTTGTGTCTACAAACAAATTAGCATATGTCGATTCTATGCAAATCTGGGTCCTTTTTTGTCCTCCTTTTTTGTGATGCATGCTTTGGGAGCGGGGGACGGGGGTTGAAGCCTTAAGCGCCCAGCCTATATTCCTCAAGGATTTCCATGCACAGCCAAGGCACTGAGACTGCCATCTGAAAAGCTGCGACCTGCACACAACAACCTGTGTCTAGGTGAACAAGGAATTCTAAGGGTGAGTTCACTCGTGCTCCCACCCAGGATGTACAGTCTGTAAAGCAGGTGATGTGCAGGAGTGAGTGGCTGCAAGTCCCTTGCCCACCCAACTGAATGCCTGGATAAAAACCGCCACTTTAAAAGGCTTGTTGGAAAGGGAAGATCTGCAACAGGTGCCGAGGAAACGACAGAGGCGGTGCATGTCTGCTATTCAACTCGCCCACTGTGCTAGCGGAAGCCAGCGCAAGGAATCCCGCTAGTGTAATGGGGTTTCTTCCATCCTCTCCCACATGCCCCACATGCCTCCCCCCCCAAATCCTGCTCTCGAATTTCAGGAGAACCTGCAGAACAGTGCATGGGGTAGAAAGGGGGAGAAGAGGAAGGGAGATCATTCTGTCTGGTAAAAATGCAAAATGCCTGCATTGGCCGAACGCTCCTATTAATGCAACATTGAATTCCACCCCAATTATTACGTCCTCCTGATGAGATAGCATCTTGAGGCCCTTGACCCCCATGCAATCTATCCACCTCTTTTTTTGCAGGCCATAGTCCACTTAGTCCACAGTACTTAGTCCACAGTAACAATTCCTTATATGTTGGGGGGGGGTGCTGCGTGTGACATGCTTGAGAGTCCTTCTCCCTTCCTTCCTGTTGCATGTGGGCAACCAAGCCCTGTGTCAATGGTTCCTAAGATATTTCAACCGCATAGGTTGGCTTGTGCTCATCTCTCCATGGACCCTGCCATCTCTTTGCCCACCACAGTTCTATTGTATATGCCAAATGATATGAGACAGGATCTTCTATCTTGCCAGCATGTGCTGGTTCTCTGGGTTCACTTCAGATCGAGGGTAGAAGATGCAAACTCAGGGAGCTATTCTCAGGGGAAAAGTGGTTGTATAGCACAACTGTCCTGCAAGGTAGGCCATTATTCATGTTGACATCTGCAAGGGTTGGTATTGGTGGGCCAATGTCCTGACTCAGGGGCCCACTCCGGCCACCAGAGTCCTGTGGCCCTGATCCTCCTCCACTTGACCGCCTCTTCACTCAACTTGTCAGAGCAAGTGACAGGAGCAAGGTAAAGGAGCCTCCTCCTCTGGGACTCAACCACTCCCTTGATGGCCATGTAGAAAGGATAGGGAAGAGGAAGGATCATGTCTCAGTGGGTAGCAGAAGGTACAATCCCAGAAATCCTCCAGGTAGGGCTGGAGAGCCACTGCCAGCTAGTGCAGTGTTTCCCAACCTTGTGCCTCCAGCTGTTTTTAGCCTACAATTCCCATCATCCCTTGCCACTGGTCTTGCTAGTCAGGGATGATGGGAGTTGTAGTTCAAAAACAGCTGGAGGCACAAGGTTGGGAAACACTGACTAGTGTATCAGCCTTTCTCAAACTTGGGTTCCCTAGATGTTGTTGGACCTCAACTCCCATCATCCCTGGCCACTGGTCCTGGTAGCTAGGCATGATGGGAGTTGTAATCCAACAGCATCTGGGACCCAAGTTTGAGAAAGGATGGGATACTGAGCGAGGTCAGCAGTAATTCACACGGCATCAGTGAATTTAAATCTTTATTCTAAGAAACAAACGGCTCAGAAGACCAGGCCTTGTGAGCACAGCAATTCTTCCCAGTAGATCTTGCCCCAATGGGGCAGTTGTGAGGACTGAAAGTCCCCGTCTTCCCACAGTTGCCTAAGCCCCCAAGTCTTTCCCAAGCAATTTGAGACTCCGTCAACGTGTCTGTCTCTGGTCCGCCCTCTTCATGCCTCTTCTGGTCCTGGAAGACCAGTGGGGAGTGGAGGTGGTTGCAGCAGGAGCAGGAAACTCCCTGGCTTCTTCAGTAGCCTGCCTGATCTCTGCCTCTTGGCCCCCTCTGCTGCTGAGTCTGGACTGCTCTCTGCCACAGCCTCTTCCTGCTCACTAAGCCCTGTTCCCTCTTCAGCTTTGGACACCTCCTCCTCCCAATGTGCTCCCTCTCCTCCCTCTGACCACTCATCATTGTCCCTCCACCAACCCCCTGGCTCTGAGCCTTCTTCCCTCGAAGGGCAAGTGAATGAGCAGCAGCAAGTAGAAAGGGGACCTACAG